CACCCAGATGGACCATCTCATACCTATCTGAGGGTTTGTCCACCAGTGTGCATATTGTGAAATACCTCGGCGTGGACACCCTGGAGGTGGCATTAGGCTATCTGGAGGCCTCATAGCACTCCACCATACTCGCACATCACCAGGCTACCCCAGCTCATAGGCTCTGATGCCACCTCACACTCCAGAGAAGCCAAGCATGGTACCCCGACCATCTGCTGGCTTGAAATCCATAACATTTCCATGCACGCTAGCTAGCTTGAGGGTGCCACTTGTACATGCAACTCTAAGTTGAAATTGGTTGATTTGTGTGATATTTACCAGGGGAGGACTGGTCTGAACTGGTCTGAACTGGTCTTAGACTGAATTCAGTCCTAGACCGGTCATGGCTGGTCTTGGACTGCAAGGAGGACTGCACAGGACCAGGACCTGGTCTTAGTCCGGTCCTGCACAAACTTGTACTGGTCCTTGACCGGTCAGAGTCCTGGTCCGACACAGTTTCTGAAAAAGACCGGACTGGACCGGACCCTCAACCACTAAGTAAGACCAGTACATACACTGCCAACTTTCTGGCTAGCCCACCAGACGCTGACACCTGGACACAAGCCACCAGCCATCTGGTATCCATGCAGATTCTCACGTGGAGTCGCACTGGCTCTAGTTGATGTGGGCTCTGAAGGCCACCTGAAAGTGCATGTGGAATCCGAGCCCAGCTCGCCACCGTCTGATAATCTGGTCGGCGCTCGACGAATTCTCAGCTCGATGCATTACGACATCGCCCGTTAACCATGTCCGTACAGATTAACAACAAATACTTAAAATTGCAGTAAATTATTGCAGGCAGGCGGTGATCAGTACATGAGGGAATCCAACTCAGAATTAACCAATAACACCCATTATGATGTTGTCAATTCTCTGCCGCTCTGCCACTGGGGTAGACCGATCTCGCGTGGTACTCATACTAGGCGCGCTGCAGGCCAGATAAACGGGACTCGACTGTAGTACTTGTAGCAAGCCAGCGGACCCTCTGACGATCTCACAGCGACAGATTTATTGAGTCAGGTTGTAAAAAGCAGCAATTCCTTATCACACACATTGCCGTACGCGCATTACAAGATCAAATTCTACAGAAAAATTGGGTGATATACTTGGTCAAATGGTCGACTGGGCCGCACGCCACGTGATACGAGACGCCTTCGACGCAGACCGGGGTGTAATACGACACTTGAACGGCTCGGGATAGCTGAGCGGGGGGTAAGTCAGCATCTGAACGGAGCATGATCCCTGCACTTTCACCTGACGATACCCTTGCTAAATTCGACTCTGAGTATTTCGTTTTCTGGGGGTAGGATATCGAACATCGCCAATATGGTCGAGATAAGGATGAACAGCGAGCTCTTCGCTAGATATCTTCCCGGGCACACGCTGCGTCGCAGGGGTTAGGTTGTTAACATGCAAGTTCAAGGTGTACTGTTCAATGTGCCTACCGCCTGCCAATGCCAAATACCCACGACGCCGGATCAACGAGCCTATCGTTATTCTTATCGAGGAACCGCTCCGGGACGAACGTACTCGGGTCGTATTGGTCGGTACGCTCCATCGCGATGGCCCTGAAAACTCTCAACGAAGCGCGCAAAGACGAGGTAGGGGAGCCTACCAGAGGTTTGGTATCACAATTGTGCCCTTCGGTATGGTATAACCTTCGTAGATATCGTCTTTGGCCGTACAGTGAGGTACGCCTGGACGAGCTCACGCAGTCAGCGGAAGGAACTGGACGGGGCTAGTCTCGCGCGTACTCAGTGGCACCGCAGGATGCCATCGCATGACTTCCTTGATCAACGCCTCGACATACGGGAGGTTTTCACGATCGCTGATAAGTGGGAGACGATCAATGCCAATGGCATGATCGATCTCATCCTGGGCTTTCTTCAACTTGTCTGGGTGCATGGCCATCAGCATGATGCAGGTGAGCACTGTCGCGTATGTCTAGTCAAGGTAAATCAACTCGTTTCCTGTCTCCTCGATCAGAACTCACAGTCTCCCCGCCGGCTGAGATTTTATATCAGCAGATCATGCAAATCACGCACTCGAAAGACTCGTACCGCCATACAAAGAGCTCACACTCCACTTGATGCTATGCTCTTTATCTTTAATACCCTGTATCTCGGAGCTCAAGAGATCCCGCGTCAACGACACCGGAGCAGTACCAGCGCGCTAAGAGGAAAGTGAGCGGGCAGACCGAGCAGCGCGAGTCATGGCGTGCGAACTGACCATCTCCGTCTTGACGTGCTCGAAGGGCCTGGCGGCCAGACGCTCAATCATTTCCCTCCCGACCTTGGCTTCCTTCTGGAACGGAACCCAGGAGGGCAAATGCTTCACTAATGGTCTGCGATGAGACTTCTTGGCTCCAGAACTGCTGACGGGCCAATTGCGGGACTCACAGATAGGAATGAGGTCGCAAATGAAGGCACCAGGTAAGGTCGCATTACCAATCACGTGCATCGTATCCTCCGCATGTGTGATATACTACGATATGTTAAGCAAGGAGCTCGAAGAGGCGGGCCTCACGAACCTCATCTTCCGCTTGTTCCACAGACAGTCCGTACGTTATGGACAGAATGAGCCTTGCTGTTGTCCTATCCGATAACGTCAGCGAGTCTAAGGGCACAGCTTGCATCTAAGCTTACAGTCGAACATGAGAAAAGAAGCCTTCCGGATCCTCTAGTATCTGTTTGCTGAAAAGCGCAGCGAGGTCTTCCTGGACTACATAGTACTGTTTGACAGCACGCGGACCCAAGGCATGATGAGCGAGCTTCCGCTGAGCTCTCCACTCCTGGTTGTAGTTGAGCAGGGGCATGCTCTATCTCCGCTGTCAGTGTGAAGCAAACACGTATGCAGCAGATGTCTTACCTTCCCGAGGCCCATAAGCTCACCTGCGACAGTGAACGTAGGGCGATCAGAATATATGTCTGTTCTTGTCTCGAGCAGATCCTGGGCCACCTTCAGAGAGTTGAGAACGAGCAAATTATTGCCCAGACCATGGAAGAAGACGAGATCGCCTGCCAGATAGTCAGCAACACTAAGCCAAAGCAATCCGTTAAACTCGCCATAGATGTCTTTATATTTTGTGAATTTAATCCAAGCAGCCTTCGGAGAAACGTCGAGGATATTCCCAATCACAGGCTTTGAGGGGGGTCCAGGCGGGTATATGGCGGTCGGACGCCAGCGCCGCAGACGATACAAGGCTAAGACTAGCAGGATGACCGCGCAGACTGCCCAAAGCTGCAATGACATGGCGGAAAGCAAGGATGGGACCGAACAAGCGCTCAGAGTCCCCAGTATTTATGCAGCTGCAGGAATGAGACTTTGAAGCTCAAGATCTGGCGCATTTTGTGATTCGGAGTTTCGTGATCTGTGTATGAAGGTCGAAAGTGGACAAAAATAGTTATCTTGTTTCGCAGTGGTCTGCAGCTTATTTCACTGTAATGTACCTAACTTATTCGCATGTTAGCGAATCTGTGTGAATCTATACTCACTATTGTGCATAATCTTCCAAGTAAGTGTACATTGGTTCAGTGCTTTGCGCCTACACAGACGCAGTTTGGAGTTATGGGTGTACTTCTCTAGGCACGGTATCTTTGCGCATTAGTAATCATCATAGATTTCCCATATTTGGATATAACGATCGCTCAGACAGAAAAATCTAAGATAAGCGCCGTGCGAAAACGGGTTCCAGGCCATGCGAGTTTTGATGTGGACGAAATGAGTGTACTTTTGACCCAAGACAGCCCGAGACGCACAAGCGCACCTTTCAGGTCGAAAACAAGTTTCATTGTGTTACAAGTTTGTGATGTGCTTATTTTGTCCATCCACAATTTTCATAGCATCAAGGCATGTTGTTTCGAACCCAAGACAGCTCGAGACACACAAGCGCACCTTTCAGGTCGAAAACAAGTTTCATTGTGTTACAAGTTTGTGATGTGCTTATTCTTGTACATCGACAACTTTCATAGCATCGAGGCATGTTGTCTCGAACCCAAGACAGCCCGAGACGCACAAGTGATGGCAAAACGTTTGGACACTTTCCTGGGTGCTCTGGCGATGTTGGTCAACACCCCCAACACCGATCATAACAATGCCTAAGACAAGTTAAAATAGGTCATCTAATACAAGACACCTCCAATACCCAGAGGTTTTCCTGATCACACAACAGGCAAAACCCGCATCCCGTTCTGCGTGAGGTGTGACTGGACATCATCTCCAGTACCGCATCCAGTACCACATCCAGTACCGCATCCAGTCGCGCAATCAGTTGTGGGAATTACTGTCGTGATTGGCTGAATCCCTCCAGAAAGGCAGTGTCAAGTACTAAAAATAGAAGTGATGTGCCACCCCAGTGCCTGACGCTGTCCACCCTTGTGTCAGTGTCCAAAGCAATTCTCAGATTATTTCGCCAGCTTATTTCTCAGGTGCCGGCTGAACAGCAGCACAGCATGATGGCATGATGGGAGATAAGCAATATTCTGCGCGCATTCTCAAGGCTACCTGCCAGATTGAGAGGCTTTCATGCAACTTCAAGTGCGTTGGCTGCTGAATTCGCAGGGGCTAGCACCCCTCCGCCTGTGCACATTGACACTGTGGCCGTTAGCCAAATGAAGGGAACATCCAACCCTTCCTCGCCATAGCTCTTTGCTCACCGAGGATGTCATCCCAAAAGTCGCGGCGCTGCTCACTGCGCGCTGAGCGCTGGGCGCATGCATCACATGATCCCATGCAAGGGCGACGCGATTAGATTTGTGGCTTGCGGCACTATCAAATCTGATCCGATTTTCAATGAGAGGCTTTTTCGCATGGTGTAAAGCAGGAAGTACATGTGTAAGGCCAGGGAAGCACAGAGGTACATCAAGACCAGCCAGCAGTCTATGCGAAGAGAGATGAAGGCACTTCATAGCAAGGAGAAGCTGGGTTCTAACCATGAAAGCGAGAAGTGGCAGGAGCACATTCTTTTTCCCTTACTCCTGGTACATCCTCGGCCGCTGGCATCATGGGCTTGGACAATAGATGGCAGGAGGCAGTCATTGCAGCAGATGAAGCCAAGTATGGCCAAGGTTTTTCTGGTCATTCTATCACCTCCAACGATGACGCGGACGACAACAATGATAATACAGAGAGCGAGACGGTACTAACGATCCCGACAACCCTTTCCGGCAGGCCCATGCCTCCCATTCGCGTAGTGCTGAGCAGACGAATACCCCGTAGTAACATTATTTGTTATACATATGATATATATATATATGTGCAAATGCTACATCTACGTTGGTGAAATTTAGTGCGGAAGGCTTCTGCTCGTCCTGTCCGAAGCTGCTGTGCGAAGTCACACTTGGGTGGTGGGCGCTTGATGACCCAGCCTAAGATCTGGATCGTGAGATTGTTGTTTGGTCAAAATACTATGATGGTACCCTGCTTTATAAAATTTGGGAAAATCTGCATCCTGTAGCTTACCACATCCATGCTTCGCGGGCGGTTTTGCATGAGTCGATGTGCACACACCCTAGCTATATATCCGTATTTTTATAACATCTTATTGAGGTTTTGCAAGAGCAGTGGATCCTCTCCGGTGCACAAAGTAGGTCCTGCACCACTTTTTATAAATTTCGTCACACAAGTGTCACACCAGATGCCGTCGAGCCGTGCCTCTGCCGAGAAGCCGAGCCGCCTCTCCAAAGTCAACCTCAGTTGTCTGAGATCAGGCGGAGCGACAAATTCATCACGCCTTGCTCGTTCATTGTAACGCTCCACTGATGCTCCTTCCCTATACATGTACATAGCACCTTTTAAACCAAATATGTTGACCAGACATGTCTGGTGTAAGTACAAAAGTCTATGAATGCAGTTGCCAGAATATTTGGTGAGCGAGATCTGGTTGGATCTAGCCATCAGTGGCATTTTTCGGCCAGTTTTGGATCGCTTCCGAGCATCCACAAAAACATCATATCGTCCCTTGCTGCACATCCGCCATAATATGGGTGTCATATTATAGTATGAATACAATTCTATCATGAGAAATATTCACAGCACCTCCGGGGGCATATTGCAGCAGCAAGATCGATTTTATAAAGCAAGGAGCCTTTATAAACCAGGGGGCCATCATAGTACGGCTGTTGTGAGACAACACTCGAATGGATTTTAGACCTCAGCTATCTAAACATTGATCCGGGAGAAATCCCCTCGAAACCTGGTACACGCAATCTCCCGGGGCCCTGTGTACTGGAGATGATGTCCAGTCGCACCTCACGCGGAACTGGATGCGTGTTTTGCCCGTTGTGTCACTAACTCCCCGATACAGTACTTAACTTCAAGGCGCATCCACTGCATTCACCCAACCCCGCCATTCTTCGTCTTCCACCCCTAATGACGACTCTGTTTACTCGCCTACGCTACCATGCTCAAACCGTCGTTCTCTTCACAATCTCTGACTTGAAGACCATCTTTTTCCCCATTGTAAGTTGCTATGCCTTCGGATAATAGCGGTTGCAATAACCTTCCTACAGTCCGTATTCGCATGTGCCACGGCTCCCTTACACTCCACGCCACGACTTCTGTGGGGTTTCATGTGGATATGGATGCACCAGCTTATGTGCAATATCTCGAATCAGTCTAGGAGCGCGGCGGAGGACGCAATAAACAAGCCGTGGCGTCCGCTACCCGCAGGCCGTATCACAGAGTCCCAAGCAACTGCCCTCCGGTGGGTCTCTGTGAGCCTGTGCGCATGGTGGTCGGCAATGTATGGTCTAGACCTTTTCCTTCCGACTCTGACGCTCTTCATCACGACGCTTCTCTACGACGAGTTCGGCCTTGCGGGTCACTATGTTGGGAAGAACTTCTGTAACATTGGAGGCTATATCAGCTTTGAAATTGGTGCCACAAAGATCATGGGTAAGAAAAAAATTGGTCAAGAGAATTTCGCTGACGTGCTGTAAAAGGTGCCAGCCAGGTGATGGACTATATCTCCGTCACTGCAGTGTGCGTAAGCGGCGCCTTGATATTCACAACAATACAGGCGCAGGACTTCGCAGACGTAGAGGGAGATAAACAGCTTGGACGTATTACGTTCCCCATATATGCCCCGGAGTTCTCTCGCGCATTCACGCTGGGAGCTCTCATCGGGTGGTCTGTTTTCCTGAGCTGGTTTTGGCACATAGGACCCTTATGCGCCATCGGATTCATTGGCCTGGGCGCCTTCGTCGGTTTCAGCTATTATACGCACAGAACTGAAGCAGAAGACCGCAAGTCGTATATCTTCTACAATGTGTGTACCAGCTCCAGCCTCGCATGCGTCGTTCTAACTCAGCCGTTCACAGGTATGGCTCATGCTAGTACATGTGCTGCCTCTGGACGTCAGGACGGGGCTCATCCGACTTTGAGACGTCGTTTTGTCGATCTTTCGACCCAGAGCCCCCCCTGGCCTTACAATGTACCACAAATACGGCTACACAACAGGAATGAAACGTTGGTTACATATTTCGCGCGTTATGAATGAGGGACTCACGCCTGCATATCTAACATGTTGGCTTGCACCACTTTGGACGTTACTCCCCGCTGACTTCCTCGTATCTTCGCTTTCCTACCTGGAGCTCTGACTAGTGGCTTACGCGATAGGGAGCCATGGATTCCCTGCTACCCTGCTTGCAGAACGTTCGCCCACGTTCCTGTTTGCTGCAATTTGTGACGCTACAATAATCTTCTGTTTGTTTGCATTTGGGAAACCCGGGTAGCTTACGCATAGGGTCATGCGGGGCGAGGCCTGCATTGCAATGCAACCTATGCAGGATTGCTGCAGCCTGCAATGTCCGCGTGCCAGACATACAAATTCATGCTTAGCTTGCGGCAAGGTGCCGTGACAATGAAGTCGAGGCCCATGCTACGGTTGCCAGTGGTGGAAATTTCAGCGGGAATGTTAGTAATAATTACTCACATATCCTTCGGCATAGTTACGGAGGTTATGGACCTTATTGGCGGCGACGAGTAGCTATAGCTCAGCTCAAAATTCCCTGACGTATAGCAGCGGCGGGAAGGAACGAATAATACTTTTTAAGCGGCAACAAACGTCAGGCCTGCATGATATATGCCGACAAGACGGAAGGTTAGCTTATGAGGGCTTTCCATAGATCGCTTTACAGGATAATACTGGCACTGCCGGACCACCTGTAGGTGGTGGTTACGACACTGCGACCTAAACGAGATAATCAATCAAAGTTGCAGCTGGACGAAGCTATCTTGAGATTTTTGGATGAGACGAAGGTTGTGTGTATTTCATCCGGAAATGGCCCAGCTTCGAACGCAGTCATATAATTACAGCCTGGAGATCTGTAACATGGTATAGCGGATGCTATCCCGGATCGAATTTCAGTCCATTTGGATCACTCTGAAACCTCGTGTACAAGCTTGGTCAACGCGTCCTTCCCGAGAGGTATCCACACCGCTTCTCCTCCGGCAGTCTGGGTGACTGACGCCATCAGCCCATGGTCCTTGAATTCTGCCATAAGGGCACGCATCGCCGTATCGTTCGTCGCGACGAAGTTCTCGCGGGCAACGTTAAAGAGCATGCTGTAGTCGAACGCGATCTGCAGCGAGTCTTGTTGTGCGTTTCCACCGCTGCTAGCCTCCGCCTCGGCTGTATTCTCGAGCTGCCCCGTGCCGAGCAGAGCGAACAGTTTCTTAGCTTTTTGGGTGACGGATGCGAGGATGTGGCGTGCCGCAGTTTCAGTCATGAGGCCCGTCGCGGTCGTACCCGGTAGGTCTTTCTGTCCACGAGAGGAGGCAGCTTGCGAAGCACCCTTGATGGACGAGCGATCGGCATGGGCGGTTTCGAAATCGTAGGGTAACAGGGTGGTGACGTCGTGGAACAGCCAAGAGTAGCCCTTAGACATTGCAATCACTGGGCCATCGTTTTCTACCGCGGGTTTATGAGAGAAGATGTCCGCCAAGGACCACAGATGAGGGAAGGCGATACTGTCCGCCGACGCGACGATGTGTATTCGGGGGTTGCTCGCGAGGACGGACAGGCATGACTGCGCTTGGGGCTTGCGCATAGCTAGTGCATCGATGTTGTGGATGACGAGGTAGAGCTTCTGCTCTGAAGAGGCAAAGGATCTGTATATTCGTCGCGTCTGTGCTTCGATGCCAGATCCTGAAGCCTGAGTTATTTCGCTCTCCTGCAAGGTCGGAATGCTCTCGATAGACGCGAGGAGATCCTTTATCGCAAAGCCAGGATTGAAGGCGTTGACGACAATGACGTCCCTGCGTCTCCTGTGGATCCGTTTCGCGAGGGCATTGAGGACTTCTCGCTTGGAGCCCGCGCCATAGAGCAGCAGACTGAAGCCTTCCTCAAGTTGCACCAGGAGGCGAGAGAATAATAAGTCGCGTCCGGTTCCCAGCCACGGGACTTTAATTTCATTCTTGCATGTGGATTGCTCGATAGCAGAGGTGTATTGCCCGGCAGTGAGGGGTGCCAAGAGGCTGGAGAAGGTGTTCTTGGAGGTGCGCGTAGACTTGTGGTTCCGTGTGAAGTACTGGTCGAAAGACGTTGTAGCGAAGGTGCCATAGCCATATCCGAGGTCATCTGAGAGCTCTCCCTCTGAGAGCTCTCCCTCTGAGAACGATTCCTCGCTGGACGACATGGCTGGAACAACAGGAGAAACAGGTGCTGTGGCCGCTACGTGACTGTCACGTGATAAATACCCTTGTTCAGCGTTGAGCGAGTTTCGCGACTTGGTTCGTCCCGCCAGCCACCTCCGCTCTATTTTCCGCTCTTTCTTTACTGCCGTACACCAAACGCGCTCTGTGACACCTGATTTATGTCTGTACGGTCCGGGTTGCTCGAGTTCAGCATCCGAGGCGACGAACTCGAGCAAAATCGCATCCAACTTGAACAGAACCTCCAACACACCGATCTTTCTCTGCATCTTTCATCCACACCTAGCGACTCAGACGTTGAGTATCCCAGACGAAACCCAGGCCCCGGACCGTTTGGAGGCTTTGCTTCGTTCGACCACATGTCCCGAGATCAATTCGACCCAGAAGAAGAGAGCCAGTACCACCCCTGGTCGTACCGTACGGGTGACGACGAGAACGGTGTTAGCCCGTACGGAAACAGAACTATATCGACCGCTGCACATCACGCAAGTGCGCTGACTCTCAGTGCGGGGCTTGCAGGCAGGGGGACTCGTCGGGACGTCAGCATAAGTGGGGCAGAGTATGATCCTGATCGCCCTCTCACGGGCATAATCGCGGGCTTCAACGCCAATTTCTCCGCTCTCGATCCCAACTCAACGCGTTCCAGACATCTCGTGCGTCCCTCCTCATAGTTATCATAGAGCCTTGGGGACATTGCACAGCCCGTGAGGCACTGCCTGCTTCCCGTCTTACATGTCGTCATACGCGCAGGCATCCGCCACAGTAGATTTCAACGATCCACTCGTTGTTGACGACAGCGCCGAGCTCGATGAAGTTTTTCAAGCGGGTTGTGCCCCTATCCCTACAGCTAGCATTCGTTCTCCCGGCACCGCTTCCAGCTCGTCGCGCCCCAACACTCCCCTGTCACCACGCCCTAAACTCTCTGATGCTTTGAGTCACGTCGCATTCTCTCCCAAACGACCCCGCCGTCCGCAATCGCCAGCCATCCACGCACCTGCGCCTTGCAAGGGTCGTTCTGCAATTGCCCGCCAAACAAAGATACCACTTACGCGTCGCCAGGTTGCCACTATCGAGAGCGACCCTGAAGATAACGTCCCAACTCCAAGGTCGCGTAGTCGGGGATCTTACGTACATCAGTCGCTCTCGTATGCACCGCTGGAGCCCGAAGTGAACATCTTGCCTCCTACTCCACCAGGCGACGAGAACGCGAATGCGAAATTTGTGAATGTAGCACGTGGGCTAGCCAAAGAATTCGAATCACACCAAAGTGCCATAGCGCAGAGCACTATGCGAGACCGCAAGAACGCGAAGAACGCGAAAATGTCGCTAAAGAATGTCATGAACGATTTGCAGGAGCAGAGGCCCACTCATACTTCTGTACCGCGCGGTGCAGGCGTGCGGACCCCATATAAGAATGGAAAGCTCTACCTTCCCGACGTGACCGGCATCACAAGCGCAGTTGGATCCCCGATGAAGGTGGGCATGGAATATCAAGGCTATAACGGAAAGGAGGATCGCGAGATTGACGGTTAGTGCATGGTTTTCGGGTGCTTCAGAGAGACTGATGCGTTTGTAGTGCGACTTGCGGCCACCCTGAGCATCGTTCAATCTAAGATTGCCCATCTGGAAACGGAAAATAGCATTTCGCGTAGGCGCGTCCGCGAGCTGGAGTTGGAACTTGAGGAATGTAAGAAGGAGGTAACTAGAGAACGCACAAGGATCCTTGGGCGGGAAGAGCCAGATGTCCAAATCCCGCAGGAGAAGACGACTCGCGGAATTCGCACAAAGGCTCCAAAACCAGTTGAACCTCTGGAGACTTACGAAGATATTCGGAGGTACAAGGAGGCAGTAGAAGAGAAGAAAGGTTTGAACTTCGTCCTGGAAGCTTTCCAAGATGCTGATGATAGCGGGCAGCCCTAGAGACTTTGATAACTACTCTACGATCACATTTGACTCGCCTGACCGCCGAGCTTTCTGACCACTCTCGCTTACTGGAGGAACTCCGGGAATTGCGAGATTCGGATGTCCGTGCTCTCAAAGAGAAGAGCCACGAGATCAACCAACTGCGCCAGGAAGTCGAACGCCTTGCGGGCGAAGTGGAGGTTTTGCGCGGCGTCGTCGAAGAGGGTTTGAAAGAGCGGAAGGAAGCAAGGGAGCAGTCTATGGAGCGGTCTCGCTCGCTGGAGAACTCACATTCTCGTTCTCTGATAGAAGACGATGCGGAGGAGCCGGACGTGGCCGAGAAGCAGGAACGGCGGCATGAAGAGCACTTGGTTGACGGTGGGTTTAACTCCGGCGACGATTCATCTGACGGTCGTTCCACGCCTTCCCCCCGGCCATCTCCACACCGTCGTCGACCTCGTCTCTCTGACCGCACCGATCGCGCCACACTTGGTTCCCCGCCGCCAGCCACTAGCACGAGCGCACGGCCTTGGTTGGAGTCAGCAGAGGTCACTCGCATTTCTGAGGAAGTCTCTGAACGCCGCCACGAACGTTCTCGGTCCGCTTCAGTGATTTCGGGCGGTGACCCAACCCTTGCTACCGGGCAAGCAAGAGGTTACCACACCGACAGCGATGGCTCAGAGGACGACGTACCTCCATCTCGTCCAAGGAGCAGGGGTTCTGACTGCACTGCGAAGGAGAATCATGTGGCGCCTTCTCCCGTACGAAGGCTGGCTGCACTCATTCCACCATCTTCATATCCGCGAGATCCTGCTGCGATACCACGCGTCACCTCTCCCGGACCTCGTTCCCGGCAAGCGCCAGGCCCGTCAAAACCCGTCGCTGCCCCCAAAGCGACAGCACCCGCCGAGGCGCCTTTCCCACAAATTCGGGGCGAGTATCTCGAGAAGCTGTTCTTCTCTGCACCAGATCACAATGCCGACACATGCACAGTATGCAATCGGCGCGCGCGCGCCACTGCGACACGGCAGCAGCGCAAGGCTACGTGGTCTGCCGGGCGCTACTTCCAATTTGAGGCGGAAGATGAAGGCTTTGTAGAGGGTGCAGACGAGGGGCAAGCGAAGAAGGGGAAAGAGCGCGCAGACGGCGAACGATTACTGCCACAAACAGTGCTCACG